TTTACGTTTGCTGTGGTCAGGACTTCCAGTACTATGCTGAATACAAGTGGTGAAAGTGGACATCCTTGTCTTATTCCTGACCTTAAGGGAAGAGCTCCCACAAAAGACCTCGAATCGCCAAAGCAATCTTGAAAAAGAAAAAACTGGAGGCATCACAATTCCAGACTTCAAGTTATATTGCAAAGTTATACTAATCAAAACTGTATGGTACACACAAAAATAAATACACAGATTAATGAAATAGAATAGAAAACCCAGGAGTGCCTGAGTGGCTCAGTCGGTTGAGCATCTGACTTTTGATTTCAGCTTGGGCCATGATTCCAGGGTTGTGGGATTGAGCCCTGAGTCGGGCTCCATGCTGAATGTGGAGCCTGCTTGGGATTCTCTCTCCCTGTCTCCCCTGTTTGCTCTATCAAAAAAATAAATAAATAAAAAGAATAGAAAACCCAGAAATAACCCCATAATTATATGGTTAATTAATCTTTGACAAAGGAGGAAAGAATATGCAATGGGAAAAAGACAGTCTCAACACCCCCAAAAACAAATATTTGAATTAAAAAATGGACCAAAGATATGAACAGGCATTTCTCCAAAGAAGACCTCCAGATGGCCAACAGACACATGAAAAGATGCCCAACATCACTCATCCTCAGGGAAATTCAAGTCAAAACCACAGAGCGATATCACCTCACATGGGGTCAGAATGGCTAAAATGAACAACACAAGAAACAACAAGTGTTGGCGAGGATGTGGAGAAAAAGGAACCTTTGTGCACTGTTGGTGAACGCAAACTGGTGCAGCCACTCTAGAAGACCGTATGGAGGTTCCTCAAAAAATTAAAAATAGAGCTACCCTATGATACAGTGGTCACACTACTGGCTATTTCCCCCCAAAATACAAAAACACTAACTGAAAGGGATACGGGCACTCCTATGTTTATGGCAGCATTATTTACAATAGCCCCATTATGGAAGCAGCGCAAGTGCCCACTGACAGATGAATGGATAGAGAAGATGTAGTGTATACACAATGGACGATTATTCAGCCAAAAAAATAATGAAATCTTGCCATTTGTAACAACATGGTTGGAGCTAGAGAGTATAAGCTAAGTGAAATAAGTCAGAAGAAAACGAATACCATATGATTTCACTCATAGAGGAATCTAAGAAACAGAAAAATGAGCAAAGAAAAAAAGGAGACAAAACAAGAAACAGACTCTTTTTTTTAAAAAAAATTTTTTAGATGTTTTATTTATTTTTAGGAGAGAGAGAGAGAGAGAGAGACAGACAGCGTGAGCAGGGGAGGGTCAGAGAGAGAGGGAATCACAGAATGAAACAGGCTCCAGGCTCTGAGCTGGCAGTCAGCACAGAGCCCGACGCGGGGCTCAAACCCACGAACTGCGAGATCATGACCTAAGCGAAAGTCGGTCGCTTAACCGACTAAGCCACCCAGGCGCCCCGAAACAGACTCTTATCTACAAAGAACAAACTGATGTTTAGCAGAGGGGAGATGGGTAGGGGGGATGGGTGCAATAGTTGACGGGGACTACAGAGTACACAAATCATGATGGGCACTGAGTAATGTAAAGACTTGTTGAATCATATATTTAAAAAAACAATGTATATTTTTGAGGGGGAGAGGGGCAAAGAGAAAGGGAGACACAGAATCCGAAGTAGGCTCCAGGTTCTGAGCTGTCAGCACAGAGCCCAATGCAGGGCTGGAACCCATGAACCATGAGATCATGACCTGAGCCAAAGCCGGATGCTTAACCAACTGAGCCACCCAGGCTCCCCACTGTATCACTATAAGGTATATCTGAAACTAATATAACACTGTATGTTAACTATACTGGAATAAAAGTTTTTAAAAACTTAATAAAAAATAAGTAAAAGTAACCATTTGAATTCCAATAACAGAATGTTTTTCTAAACATTGAAGAATATTTTACAACTATTTTTAATCTGCATTTGAATGTCTTCATCATGGTATTTTCCCTCTGAAACTTTCACAAAGATGCTGCTAACGTGTTTATCTAAATGACCTCCTTTGTTAGGTTAGGAGGACAGTCATTATTTACCCCTCCTTCGCAGATGAGGAAACTGAGGCTGGGAGAGCTGAAGTTACTTGCCCTCCACAAGAAGGCCTCCTAGTGAGCAAGGGTCAGAGCCATGATCAGCTTCCAGAGCATGAAGTGGCCCTGTGTTCTGTCCATTTACCACAGGCTGAAGAAAAGGCCCAAAAGTAGCCACAGAAATTACCCCCTTGAAAAACCAAAGCAACAAAGCCCATGTGGGGATTATTAAAGCAGTTGAAGATATCTTTTCACTTTGGAAATTACAAATTATACAGACAGGTTATTCAGTTAAGGGGAAGACATTGAGGCGTGAGTAGCTACATTCACCATGCATATTTCAGGCCTTTTAGCCTTTAGGTTGAAAGCTGTGATGTGGACCGAGAGCAGCGGCACTTGGGGTGGGACACACAGCTGGCTGTAGTCTTTCCTTTCCTCCCTCGCTGCTCATGCTCTCTTCGCCCACGGGGAAGTGGGTGTTCTGGAAGGCAGAGGCCCCCACTCTGAAAGTGGTGAGCTAGGGTACTATTGGCCATACTTCATGAAGGAGGGGAGTATTCATCAGCTTTGAGTGTCTCCTGGCCCAGAGTCAGATGCCCTCCCCACCACTACCCCTTGAAATAATTTCTTCTAAAGGGCACATCGTAATGGGTCTGAGTCTGCATTTGTGTAAGTGCTGCTGTTCAGTTGAGGAGAACAAAGTGCTCTTTGTGAAGGGCAAGTTCAGTTTGTGCAAAGTGGAAAGATTTCAAAACAGTGAAGGGGAGAGGAGGTAGGGGATCCAAATTAATCCCAGCCATGGAACCCCTATGGACTGACTTCTGCTAACTCTTTCTGGTCTTAGCATGATTTTGAGCCGTTATTTTCTGATGTTATGGGCTATAGAGTGCCTTGTGAAATTCTCTTACCCACCACAAAAGAGTCCTGAGGAGCTAGATGCCTGGGCACTTGGGTTCCACGAATTATCTCCCTGGAATGACTTGTAGATATCATGTAAATAACACAGCCTGGGACATAAATTCCACACATGCATCACTTACATTTGAAAGGCCCCAACTGCTAGAGGCCAGACTCTTTAATCTATAGTTAAGGAAGGGATTTCTGGCATTTTCTGTGAGCCTTCCAAGCCTCCACATCTCATCCCTGTCACTAGGTAAAAGAGTGGAAAAAGGAGATGCCTGTTTGTGATGGGAAAATCAGCACAGGAGAGAGCCTTCTGTAATATTTAATCTAATGGTAAAAGTTTTGACAATCATTAAATAAGTTTGTAGGAGGAAACAAGGTCCTTGCTCTAAATATTTATATCACATACCACAATACTCCTAAGATCCTGAAGAAGGTTCTGGTTTGTGTGTTGTAGCAGCTGGATGGACACTTGAAAAAACTGTAGAGGGAATTTGGACACGGAGTGGGAAATGGGCTGGAGAAGTCACTCCTTTTCAAGCCTGAGAGTCTGTGAAACTGGAGGTGCCAATCCATTTCTTAAGGGAACTGTTCTTTTTAAACTACAAGATCTTTTTTTAAAAATGTTTTATTTATTTTTGAGAGAGAGAGCACAAGTAGGGGAGGGGCAGAGAGAGGGGGACAGAAGATACGAAGCAGGCTTCACACTGACAGCAGTGAGCTCATGTGGGGCTCAAACTCACGAACCAAACTATGAGATCATGACCTGAGCTGAGGTCGGATGCTCAAAAAGCTGAGCCACCCAAGTGACCCACAAGATCTTTTTTTTTTTTTAAATATTTTTATTTATTTCTAGGAGAGAGAGAGAGAGAGAGAGACAGCGTGAGCAGGGGAGGGTCAGAGAGAGAGGGAGACACAGACTCTGAAATAGGCTCCAGGCTCTGAGCTGGCAGTCAGCACAGAGCCCGACGCGGGGCTCGAACCCACGAACCGCGAGATCATGACCTAAGCGAAAGTCGGACGCTTAACCGACTAAGCCACCCAGGCACCCCCACAAGATCTTTTTTTAAAAATATTTATTTATTTTGAGAGAAAGAGCGGGGCTGTGCATGCATGAATGGGGGAGGGGCGGAGAGAGAGGTGGAGAGAGAATCCAGAGCAGGCTCTGCACTGTCAGCCCAGAGCCTGTCATGAGGCTTGATTCCACAAACCATGAGATCATGACCTGTGCTGAAATAGTCAAACCCTTAGCTAATTGAGCCACCCAGGTGCTCCTTTAAAGTATGAGATTACAGAGATGAGAGAATAAATGAATGGTTACCAGAGATTAGGGATGGTGATGGGGGTAGGGGGCAGGGTGGGTGTGACCACAAAGGGGTACACCAGGGAGATCTTTGTGGTGATAGAATAGTTTTTTATCTTAATTGTGATGGTGATCACACAAATCTATACATGTAATGAAATGGCATACAACTATACATACACACTGTACCTATGTCCATTTTCTGGGCTCTACAGGGTACTATAATGATGTGTGATGTAATCATTGGGGGAGACTAAGTGAAGGGCAACTTCCTGTGAGTCCATGCTTATTTCAAAATCAAAAATTAAAGGGGTGCATGGGTGGTTCAGTAGGTTAAGCATCCAACTTCAGCTCAGCTCATGATCTCACAGTTCATGAGTTCAAGCCCCATGTCAGGCTCTGTGCTGACCACTCAGAGCCTGGATCCCTCTTTGGATTCTGTGTCTCCTTCTCTCTCTGCCCTTCCCCTGCTCCGTACTCTCTCTCTTTCTCTCAAAAACACATAATTTTTTAAAACAGGTTTAAAAAAATCTGAGCACAAGTCTGCATTTTTTTAAGTGACCTACAAAACCTTTCATTTAGCCTACTCTTCTTTTGAGAGAACCCTACCCCCATGTCCCCACCCCCCATATACCATAACTCCTTGACACTTGAGAATTAGAATTACAGACTTAAGAAACTTTTTCTTTTCTTCCCCGGGTGAAAAAAACCAGTCCGAGAATGCATGTGCCCTTCTTTTATTTTAATCTACAGATCTGATGTTTCAGATGAAGGCTATTTGATTGGCAATGCCTTGAGCAGACTGGGAAGATTCTATATCTGACTAAGCCAGCTCTTCTCCCTGCCATGGAAAAAAAAGCAGAAACATGTTAAATTCCTTCCATGCCTTCTATGTGAACAGAAGCAGAAGGGTAGAAAAGGAGGGAGAGGGCAGGCCACAGGGGTGTGGGGTCTTGTGGTTCTCAAAAGAGAGGTTTCTCTTGGCTCAAAGGGGGCTGGGCTTCTGGATTGAAAAACGCGGAGAAACTGCCCCACAAGGTCAGGCACTTGGAAGAGTAACAGTTGGGCTAGGCTCAGAGAGGGGGCAGTTTGAGTTGAAGGTGGAAATGTGAACTGGCTTCTCCTCCCCACCTTCCCCAGTACACCCGACGAGACGGACAGAGCCTGAGCCCTTCAGTGGGAACAGGTGGCTGTAATGGGCAAGTTATAAAAGGCTTTGGTATGGGAGCACCTGCTGCAGGCTGTCAACTTCCTGACACAGTCTTATCTCCCAGAGGCCCCATCCTGGCCTTCCTAGATTCCATGCATCTCACTGAACCTTCTTGAGTGCATCTCATCTGGCCCACGCAAGCAAGTACTTGCCTATAAGCCATCTCATATTATTCTCTTTTGTTGAGTCACAGGCCTGCTGGGTTTGAATCCTAGTTCTACCACTTACTAGCTTTGCAATCTTGGGCAAGTTTTCTCAACCTCTCTGTTCCTCAGTTTGCTCATCTGTTGTATAGGGGCAGTATCTCCCTTACAGAGCCTGGCACCTAGTAGGTGCTTAGCAAGTGTCAACGTGTCTTTGGTTACTGTTGCCCATGTGGATGCCCACATGGTTCACCTAGACTGGAAGATCCTTGAGAGAGCTTCCTTGTCTTCTTCCCCCACCTCCACCCCAGCACCTAGCATATGATTGGGCACATAGCACATTGTTAATGAGTCCTCATTGGATGAAGCTTTCCTGGCTACCTCAGTGACACTGATGGAGACCCAGAAATGGGCACGAGGGAATATCAATGTTCCATTTCCAAATATGAAGGTACTGTGCTGAATTCTTTACTTCCTTGATATACTGTTACAGTAAAACTGTCCCGGTGATCAGGCCTGCCTTTAGGTGCAAATATAATTTTAGACAATTATGTAGCTCAAGTAAAATTAAAGCCCATGCCTAAGTATCTTGGCAAAATGGCCTCTTGACTGGTTTATCAGAAGAGGAACAGGAAAAGAAATCAATTAGACTGACATGCTCATTACCACAGAATTCAGAAGGTTACTGAATATAGCAATCACATCTGGGATTGACCCAGTCACATCTATACATCATTGTCTTGGGATCAGACCTCAGTCGTCAGTCATTTGTAAGGTACAGTGGAAAGAGTAATGGATGACCAGAGATACCATTCCAGATTAAGTCATTCATTCACTCATTCAGGCAACAAATATTTACTGATGGCCTGCCACGGGGCTAGGCTCTCTGCTTCGCAGACATCACCCTGCCCTGCATGAAATTTGGTATCAGTAGCTGTGTGACTTTTGTGAAGTCACTTCAACTCTCTGGGTCTCATGCTCTCCATCTGTCAAATGCTAACAAATCTATTTATATCATAATTATGAGAATTCTATGAAGGAATGCAGGGGCCAGAGCCTTGTAGACCGTTCCTGTTCTCTACTATTGTCTTCTACGTAATGGCTACGCGAATAGCTTGTGGTCACTTGAAAATTATGTCCAATGTCTATTTCAAGGGGGCTGAGGAGGTCTGCCTGTCTCATTTTCCTTCCTCACATGTTGGCAAGCCAACCAAGACCAGAGTGAGCAGGAAGGACAGAGAGCTCTGTGATATTGGGCTGAAGTGTTATAGGGAATAGCACTCCATTTTGTGTTCCCAAATGGGCTGGATTTCAGACATGGTTCCTGTTAGGGGTTGAGTCAGGTCACCCCAAAAGATAGGCTGAAGCCCTAACCCTGGGTACCTGTGAATGTGAGCTTATATGGATTAGGGTGTTTGAAGATGTAATCAAGTTCAGATGCCATTATTAGGGCGGGAGCTAATCCAATATAACCAATGTCCTTATAAGAAGACGAAACTTTGAACAAAGACACAGATACGGAGCGGAGCGAATGCCATGTGAAGACAAATGCAGACACACAGGGAAGATGGCCAGGGAGAGACGGAGGCAGAGACTGAAGATGTGCAGCCACAAGCCAGGAAACAGCCCAGGGCCCAGAGCGGAAGCCGGAAGAGGCAAGGAAGGATCCTGCCCTAGAGGCTTCAGAGGGAACATGCCCCTGCCCTGCCTTGATCTCAAACTCTCGCTTCTGGAGCTGTGGGAGAATAAGTTTCTATTGTTTTAAGCCACCCTGTTTGTGGTAATTTGGTTCAACAGCCGTAGGAAACTAATACAGTCCCCAAACAAAAATAGTGCCACCATGTACTTCCTCTGCCCTCCATGGAGTCACGGTTGACTTTCCTTTTCTGTACAGGAACCCACATGAAAATGATGCCTTGGCTCTCTGGGCTCAGACCTAGTTTGCGGCGACATGGCTAAATGCACCACGAAGGTCGGAATCGTCAGTAGGTACGAGACCCGTTGTGGTGTCTCCCTGTGGAAAATGGTGAAGTAGACTGAAATGAGCCAGCATACCAAGTACACTTGCTCCTTCTGTGGCAAAACTACTGGGAAAAGGTGAGCTGTGGGGATCCGGTCTTGTGGTTCCTGCATGAAAACTGTAGCGGGTGGTGCCTGGACCTGTAGCACTGCTTTGGCCTCACAGTGCAGGCAGCCATCAGAAGACTGAAGGAGTTGAAAGACCAGTAGAAGCTCCGCCATTCAAAACATTGCTAGCCTATAATAAATACATTTGTGTAGAAAACAAAAACAAAAACAAAAACAAACCCAAACAATGCCTCGATCCCACTGTCTAAAAGTGTGGGTCCCCCAGGTATGGGGCTGACTGAGCAAGCTGTTGCTGTTGCCCCTCAGGGTACAGGCCATCTCACCATCTTGGGAAAGCCACGGAGTCCATTTTGGGTCCGGGTACAAGCCAGCAGGGCTTAGAGCAGAAGTGACCTCACTTAAGCTTTCCAAGCACTGTCAGCTTGTGTCCACCTGGCCTTCACTCTTGCAGCCAACCAGAGGCTGCTGTCCTAGCCAGGGAGGCATCCCTTCTGTAGGATAAATAAGCAATTCATTTAACCAATGCGTAGGCGTTACTTTGAAAATTACTATTTGACAGCCACCATAGTAAAAACTGATTCAGGCAAGAGTCATCAATGGATCCTAAAACTAATGAGTGAAAGCTTTATGAGAAACATGTTATTTACATAGTCTCAAAGTATCTCCCCCGTACATTAGTTATCAAGTACAAAAAGAACAGTTGTATCTTTACACTGGAAAAGCATGGCAGATGTCATCTTTTTTTTTTTTTTTTTTACAAATAGTTTATTGTCAAATTAGTTTCCACATAACACCCAGTGCTCATCCCCACAAGTGTCCTCCTCCATGCCCATCCCTCCTCCCCCCCACATCCATCAGTCCTCAGTTTTTGTCAGCATTCAAGAGTCTCTCATGGTTTGCCTCTCTCCCTTTCCCCCACCATTTCCCCCCTTCTTCTCCCCCTTGGTCCTCTGTTAAGTTCCTCCTAATCCTCCTATACGTGCAAACATATGATATTTGTCTTTCTCTGCCTGACTTATTTCACTCAGCATAACACCCTCAAGGTCCATCCATGTTGCTACACATGGCCAGATTTCATTCTTTCTCATTATGGCAGATGTCATCTTAACCAATTAATCAAAGTTAGGGGCGCCTGGGTGGCTTAGTGGGTTAAGCGTCCGACTTTCGCTTAGGTCATGATCTCGCGGTTCGTGGGTTCGAGCCCCGCGTCGGGCTCTGTGCTGACTGCCAGCTCAGAGCCTGGAGCCTGTTTCAGAGTCTGTGTCTCCCTCTCTCTCTGACCCTCCCCTGCTCACGCTGTCTCTCTCTCTCCTAGAAATAAATAAAACATTAAAAAAATTAAAAAAAAAAACAAAGTTAACATCACCAACAATCATTGGATCCCTTCTAATATTTTACTCATGCTAGAAATGCATGGCCTCTCATCATGAGGGCACATTAGGCAAACCCCAACTGGAGAACATTCTACAAAATAACTGGCCCCTACTCTTCCAAAATGCTGATGTCATGAAAGACAAAGAAAAGTTGAGGGCTGTTCCAGATGGAAGGAAACTTGAGAGAACTAAGAGACATGACAGCTAAATAGACTGTGTGATCCTCGACTGCATCATAGACCAGAAAAAAAATAGCTGTGAAGGACATTCTTGGTACAATTAGCAGAACTGGAGTATAACCTGTAGATTATATAATAGTATGATGTATTTAATGCTATTTCTTGAATTTGCCAACTTGACCATGTTTATCTAACAGAATGTCCTTGTTCTTAGTAAACACATATTGAAGTATTGGGGGCAAAGGGATATGATGATGTCTGCGATTTACTCCCCAGTGCCTCACACACAAAAATGTGTGTGTGTGTGTGTAGGGAGAATGGTCAATGTAACAAGATGCTAACAACAGATGAATCTTGATAAAGGGCACGTGAAAGTTCTTTCTGCTATTTTCGCATACAATTTTCTATGCGTTGGAAGTATTTCAAATTAAAATTGTAAAAATGTATTATTTCGAGCATTTAACCATGTGCCCTACCAATGCTGTGCTCGGTGTGAGATATTCAAGGGAGAACAAGACACAGGCTTGGTCCTTAACCCAGGAGTTCATAGTCTGGGATGGACAGGAGAAAAAAAGAGGCCAACACATTTTGGTGTGAGGGCACAGAAGAAGGTATGCCAGACCCAGGCTGCCTGGGGAAAGGGGGGGGGGGTCATAGGAGGCTGTTTCCAGAGCAGGTAAAGGGGAGGCTTCAAGTTGGGGGGAACTAATTAAGTTTGGGGTACTAGGGGCATATGCAGACAGAGCTGACCGACAGACTGCAGACACAGGGGAGAGGCCCGGGCCTGTAGGCAGCAAGGGGAAGCCACTGCCTCCCGAGGACAGACAACAAGGCATGGATTAGCAGGT